TCATTTCTAATTACCGAATAACGTCCACAAAAGCATTGAAAATATTACTTACTCATTAATTATCATGCCATTAGGTGATACTATAAGGCCATAATATTGAACCAGATCCGAAGAGTTATTAGGAACATTCCAATAACGAATCAATAAGAAATTATCTAAATTGATGAATTTATGAATTTATGAAATTACGAAATTACAAATTATTTTTTATGTATTTTTTAATAATTTAGAACATACCTGGTAATGCAAAAATATTTATTTTATCCGATAAAGTATTATTTGTCAAATTTGTAGGACAATAATTAACAGAGGGAAAAGTATAAGCTAGATCAGCAATGATGAGCGTCATGTTTGAAAAAATGTAACGAATTGGGATTATAGTAATATTATTGTTTGGACAAGTAAAATTAAAAGATAATCGAACAGCAATAGTATCATTAGGGTAAGTGACTAAGTTTATGGGAATAGTAGGACCATTTCCTGGAGGTTCAGCTATAGTTGCGGCACGAAAAACTGATTGAGATTGAATTGAAACTATTAAACATATAATTATGTAGAAAAATATCTCCATAACAAGCGGACGCGTTTTTCGCAGCGTGATGAACATGACTTTTTGAGATTTTCGCGTTTATATGCTAAGTAATGCACATCATAAGTTTTCATAAGTCAGTAATATTATAAAATCATTACATTTTTAATGTATAAAGATTTTTTTTTTTCGAATCGAACTCTCGGACATACGATCTTTGAATATTTCTTGATTTCGCGGCATAATTAGAAATAATTTTTTTGATTTTAGAAAGCACATGATCAAATAATTTGACGATCAGAATTCTTTGAAAAAAAGATCGCATATCGTAGAATTGAAGTATTTAGAATGATCGATTCGATCGTCTGGAAACTAAAACACAAAAGGGTAAGATTGTTTTTACTTACTCAATAAAAATCATCAAGAATCTTCAATTATTGAAAACAAAAATAGATAGTAAAAAAAAAATTTTTTTTTTTTACAAGGTAAAAAGACCCCACTATTAAAAAATGATAAGGCTTGATTCGATTATTATTAAGATTTATTATTAAGGAAACGAAAACCAGATAAAAACCGATTAAAAGTGGCTCAGATCTTGAACGGGTCGATTGATCAGAGATCACACAAGAATAAACCAAAGATATTTTGTGGCAGTTCGTACAGATAGTTGCAGCAAACGGGAAATACGAGCGCGAAACAAAACCGACAAAACAATTATGCGAAACAAAACCGACAAAAACAATAATTTAAAGTTACATAGCCGCACGCCGCTTTCTTATAACTTTATAAGTGACACAGCCCGTTCAAATGAGGCTTAAAATGTCCGATAGTTTAAACATAATCAAAAGTACCAAAGTACCAAGAGAGAATTGTCTATAATTAGGATTCTAAAAACTAAAATAGCAAAGACGTTATTGGATGGAAGTCTAACTAAAACTTATCAGTTATTGAATTTCAGACCCTGCCCATTTGGGATAATTTGAGAAATACATTGTTGAGTTATTGACATCGGCATGTTACGACATGTTACCTGAGATAAGGTTTTACCACATGCATACGTATACTTCTTTGTCGCCTGCACAAATAAAATTTTGTTTGGAAAAATTATTCTGAATGAAGAAATTAATGCTAAAAAAAAGAAATTAGTACGTAGGTACTTATTAAAAAAAAAAAAACAAAAAAAAAAAAAAAATATATATATATATATATGTATATATACATATATATATATATATATGTATATATACATATATATATATATATATATGTATATATACATATATATATACGTATATACATATTCAAAACTTTAAATATATAAAATTAAATAGGTATTATTGTAAGCGCAACATCTTAGATAATACACAGTAATGATAATAAGAACAATCTTTTTTCGATAATTAATATTAAAGTTTGTGAATTGTATTATTATATGCACTATTATACATCGAAGAAAAATTATGATATTACACAATAACGATAATAGAAAAATTAATATGTAATTATATAATATATATATACGTACATATTAAATTCATTAAATTGTAAATAGGAATTATTTGTGTTATTGAATTGTACGTACGTAACATATCAAGCCACAACCGAATTTCGACGAAGACCGGGATTAAATTTAATATAATTGTCGCTAAATGCCGCTAAATGCCACTAAATGCCACTAAATGCCAAAATGACGAAAGAACAATAACAATGAACTTACTAAATTAGAATAATACAGATTTTTTTCATATACTGATTACTCACGAGAAAGAGAACTAAATGAATAATACAAATTAGGATGGTATTACAAACACAAATTAACTTAATTTGTATGAACTATTATAATATTTTAAATAGCTTTATTAGATAATTCGAACGAGTATTTGTAAGTGAAGCAAATATCAAACAGAATCAAATGTCAAGTCAACAGAAAATTGAACGATTAATGTAACATGATGATTTGCATCTTTACATTATATATAGTAGTTACGTACGCACATAGAACTGCCTAAACAATTTGTTTATATTATTAAATACTTTAATTGGGCATTTATTTTATCGTTATATAAAATGTCCGATTGCTAGACTAATCTTAGATTTATTACTCTTAAGAAGGAAAAAGATTAGCATTTAAATTCCACTGCCATGTATAAATATGAATTGATCAAATGATCATATGATCACTACTGGATTACTATCCTTGTTTGGAGTAACAGATGTCAAACATGTAACGTGTTTTTTTTTCTGGCTAGAGCACGTACGTACGTACTTAGAAAATGAAAAAGCTAACGCTAATAAGCGGATACTTACGTGTTATATGTAGATAAGTAGATTATTGTATTAGCATATAAGTACAGTTGAAGATTCTTTGTTTAAAAATTGATTTGGCTAAGATAGTTAAGTATCAGAATACATAGTACATAACAGATAACAGATAAGTAAATATTTACTAATGAAAGTTCTAATGAAGTCGTAAATAAATGTTATATAGTTGACAAGTTCAAGTCTTCAATGAAATTATCATTTTATTCACGTCATTTATCGTTTTTTTGGCGTGTCTTTTATTTATACATCTACGTACGTACATACGTACTGTACGTACGTACGTACGTACGTACATACGTACCTGATACGTAAACAAAATTTATGCGGATGATTTAGCATGTACGTACGTACGTTTATGCGCTTGCTACTAATGGATGTCGCACACATAAGATACTTTTTAAAATTATCACCAGATTCAGAATGAATGGACATTTTATTGTGGATGTGTGGAATGCATAAAAAATATCTCATTTTGAAGCTTATTTTGGTTAGTCTCGTTCGGGAAACTTAACCCAAATGTAGAACATAATAGTCACGTGTTTCATTCTTGACGAGCGTATAATTAAGCTACAATATAATTAAAGTTAAGATATAATTAAAACATAATTAAGACATAATTAAACATAATTAAGACATAATTAAGACATAATTAAGACATAATTAAGACATAATTAAGACATAATTAAGACATAATTAAGACATATTAAGACATAATTAAGACATAATTAAGACATAATTAAGACATAATTGATATAATTAAAGATATAATAAGGTTTTCAAGTTAAGTTTATTTATCAAATAAATCAAATCATAGTGTAGATTAAACCTTTTTTTTGATTTGCTATAAAAGGTGGGAAGTGGGAAGGTGGGAGGGGGGCATAAATACTCTGCAATTTATTTATTTGACATAATTTGAATAAAAGAAATCATAATTGTATTCATAATTATTTATCGTTATTGCTCATAGTAATAAACTAATAAAAATCTACTTATTAATATATTGTTGGTTATTATATTTATTTGTATTTTTCATAATATGTCTTTGGAGATCTTCAAGGCTCATAGTCGAATAATTTTCTATAGTTTTGAGCCATCTATTTCTGATCTAAAGAATTCATTAAAAATATTAATATTATTAATATTATGAATATCATTAATATCATTAATATTATTAATATCATTAATATTATTCAAATATTATTAATATTATTAAAATATTATTAATATTATTAATATTATTAAAATATTATTAATATTATTAATATTATTAATATTATTAAAAATATTATTAAAAAATATTAATATTATTAATATTATTAATATCGAATTTTAAGTTTAAAATGAACTTTATGAATAATAATAAATATTCCAACCTCGATCCCTTTATTGGTTTCAAGCAAATCAACCATCAACTTCTCGATCTTATGAAACTCTTTGTTAAGCATATTTATACAATTTGAAGATTCTTTGCACTTTGGACATGTGCGAGCTGTTGATTTCGAAGTAGAAGCAGACGGATTTGGATATGGATCCGACTGAGGTTTAGTATTCTTTGTTGGCTTGTTTCGAATTACGCGACCCGAAGCAATCGTTTTGATGCTCCGGGTATTGTAGCTGATTTCTTGCTCGTATTTCAAAGACATGAACGAACTATATTCTTGTATACTGTATTAACTACTTTGATTACGTTATAGCTACGTACTAAAAAGGTGAAAAGGCTTATTTTGGTTAATCATGAAATTGTCTTAAAGAACCATACAAAGAAACTCAAATAAGTTCTGTCTTCTTTTAATGAGAAGTTGAGTTTTATATCTAAATTATTGAAAGCACCGTTTATCAAGTTTTTTTTCAAAAATGTCCAAATTTAGAACTTCATTTATGTTATTTACGGATTTCATTTTCCGGTTCAGGTTTATCACGTGATTGATTTATCCGATTGACCGCTCTCCGTTATATGCTAATGTTGGAAATAGATGTGCACATATTGACTTAAAAAGTCGTGCGATTCTTGACATTTCGATATAGATTGATTATGTTTGATTCATGCCATAAAAATATCGCCATATGGCCGATTCTGGAAAACCATGGCAAGGTCACGTGGACATGCATTTGTAGTTTATGGAAATTTCTTTTTACGTACAAATAAATCATTTTACATAAATCATTTGTGCGTAGTAATTTGTGGTTACGTACGTACGTACGTATGTACGCACGCACTCACGTACGCATGCAGACGAAGATAGAAAGTAATATGATAAAATTTCATTAATATGTAACAAGTAATATCCGTTTTTATACGATCATTTCTAAAAATGAGTAACGCCAAAAAGAAAACTTGGTTCATTATAAAATTTATATGGATCGAAATTTGGTTTTCCTTTGGCGTCACCTAAATCATTTAGGTACTACTGGAATAAATGTTACATCCACATATAAACTTCTGCGTTCAATCACTTCTACTATTTATTTATTAATTCATACTAGTTGCCTACATCAGAATAATAAGGAATAATGGTGTTTCAATACCCATATGGTTTTTTTTTTTTGTCTTAATATTCCAATCATAAATTTTCGAGTGTAAAAGGTGTTACATATATTAACGTACGTACATGGTAAGTGAATGAATCAATTTAAGATGACTTTAAGATGACATTAAGATGATTTTAAGATAAGATGATAAGATGATTTTAGGGAAATGGTGATAATGTCTCCTATTTCGCCGCTAGACCGGGGTTTATTATTATTATTATCAAAGGGCTAAAATTGATGAGATTTCTATATATGATCACATTGAACTTGTTTAAATGGGTCTTAAAATGATTAACATATAATTGAGAACAATTGAGAACAACTGAGAACAACTGTGGACAATGGTGAACAACTGTGGACAACTGGGAATACGTTAATTCTCGTCTTTGTAAGATCAGAGACGCGTAAATTTCCCCTAGTTCATAGGTAATTGCTATGATTATAAAGTCGGAGGAATAGTGCAGCTAGTCATAATAACTGCTAGGTTTTTCAAATCCTCGAGTTTATAATTGGAAAAATCACTTGTATAACAATTAAAAGTGTCCAAAGACAAAATTGTTGAATTTGTAGGTCCCAGGTAATCCGTTACAAAAATTCCGGGAATATTTGTGGTTCTATATATTTTCTATGAAAAATGCACATGTCGTTTTAGAATTATTGAAAATATCGAAAATATCGAAAATATCGAAAATATCAAAATATCGCGTTTTTCTTTAAAAAATCGGTTTTAAGAATATCTTTTTCTTACCTCATTATTTATTGAATCTAAACGACACCGTTCGGCTAAAGAATCTACTAGTTCTTCAAGTCTTCCAATTTTAGAACTAAGCAATTTAACACATTTAGTTGCTTCTTTACAGCGAGCACAGGTCTTTTTCATCTTTATGTCTTGAATGGGTTCAATGGAATTTGTATTGCAAGTCTGTGATGGTGTGCTTTCGTCTGCTAAAATAATCGATTTTGATCTGTTCTTATTCTTTAACGCTGCTGGATTTTTCAACCTACATTCAGGTGTTACTTTTGATCTTTGAGGTCCAGGTTGATTTCCTTGACGTGAATTGTGTGCATGCGACATTAATGAAATTTATAGGATTTTGTGCTCCTATTGCTACAATATCCTTTGTAGAAGTTAAGGTGCCGTGTTAACAAGTTAGAAAAATATTTTGTATGTGAATATAAATCCATTTTTATACTCCTTGAATGAATAAAATGATCAAAATGAATAAAATGAATAAATGAATATAATTGATAAAATGAATGAATATTTCATTATGATCGCCAGCATCTTAATATGTAAATTCCCTTTTTGGAAATTGTTTCTTTTTGAAATCTCCTTTTTTGTGAATCGGCTGAAAAGTTATTATACATATATATAAAGGCAAATGATGCAATGCACTCAATGTACGTATGTACTTAACATAAACGCAAACCGTAATAACAGATTTCTGCAATATAAACAATGTAGCTTTATTTCGCTCTTTTAAGACTACGTACGCAAAAAATCTATATAATAAAGTTATATGTATAATTAGGGAAACAAAGTTCTTCCTAAAAGAAACATCCCGGAAAGCATATTCGCAATAACCTTAGTCCGGAGCAAATAGTAAACATTTAAAATAATTATTTACATCTAAAATAATTATTTTTGGTTATGTTAAAAAAAAAATTATATTTTTTGCTACCGTAACTAATTTTATAAAAAAAAGTCATGCAGTTAATTTATACATATTAAGCTGCCAATCAGAGCGGTTACTTTTTTTTCTATATTTGTACATAATACAAAAGACTACGTATTTAGATTTAAGCCAAATGAAAATTTATGCAAAGAATAAGTACTTACGTACGTACGTACGTATTCATGCTATTTATGTAAATAAATATGGTTCCAATCTATCTTATTTTCAATTTTTGATTTTTATGTATGTGAAACGATGCTTGAAATAAAATAAAATAAATTTTGGTGTTCACAAATTTTTGCCCAATGTTCTAATAACAAATTCAGTTACTATTAAAAAATCTTTTGCCCATCGTTATCAATTTTATTAAAGATCCGGCTAAAAGTATTTGTTTTTATTAATATATATATAAATAATTTTACAAATCCGTATAAAAAATTTTTAATATCGATAAATAAATAAACAAATAAATAAATCTATATATATAATTTGTGTCCGTGTATTTCGTGCGTTCTCATTGATGATCCATTACTATATATTCTTAGTTTTCAAATATATTAGCATTATACGTATACGTAACAACTTTAATATTTGTTTAATAATACTCTTCAAAAAGTGTGCCTTAGATATCTTGAAAACCTTTGTGGTTCAAATTATGGTTTTGATGCATTTCTATTGAAAGTATCAAAAATATTATTTTGCTATTTTTCCAGTTGTAACAATCCTAAAAATTTTGTTATGATATCAGATTTTTTAGAACTATGTATGTCAGTAAGTTCTTCTGGTGAGTACCGGTTTCGGTTAGTGTCTAGATTCGATTGATTGGATCCGTACATTCGAATTTTAGACACTGGTATCGGTATCTATAATTTATTATGTATGCATGCATATATGCTCCAGACTTTCACCGGTCTTCAGTTTCTTCTAGTTTAATAAAATAATAGATAAAATTTTTCAAACAAATACTATCCCTGATGGATCGTTAGTATTGTTCTGTTTTTATTAAGCCTCTTAAAAGAACTCAAAATCGATTTTTTATAATATTGTTTAAAGAATACCAAGGTTATAAAGTTATAGTTAGTTAGTAATTAGTTTAGTGCTTTTTTGGCTTTTTTGAGCAGAATCAGCAGAATCAGCAGAATTTGTAGATTTTACAAGCAGTCAAAGTACAGAAAATCTTAACAGTTAGTATAAAGTATTATATTAAATCATTATATAAAATAACTAATAATAGTTACATATCTTTATATAATAATCTGCATTATATTTTAGATTTGTATAAATATTTAGAATTATATTAATGCACTAAATTCTAAATTTTTTATAGTTACTAGTAGCATTTTATTAAACTAATATGCTTATATATATTGTTTTTTAAACTTATATAGCTTGTTTCTATAATCAAGGTTTTCTACTTTTATGCTTATACATATTAGCAAAACTATAAGTTTTTAAAATTCTATCAAAATATCTTAAATTTCAATTATAAAATTGTTTCAAACAATATTTAAGAATTTTTTATTTTTTTTTATTAATTTTTTTTTCAAAAAATAAATAAACAAAGATTTAAACAAAATTAAGCTAACACAAAAACAAGCATAACAAGCAAGGCAGGACTCCGAAAAACTCTGATACAACTCAGATCTGAGTTTGTATAATATCAGCCAAATAGGCATATAAAATAGGCCAAAAATTAAAAATTTACTATATAAAAATGTAATGTTTGATAATTTTCTATGCAAAATTTTCTTTTTAGTAAACTCTAAATTATATCAGAGTTCTTTGGGGTCCTAGCAAAGCTTAAACTTTTAAAAAAAACTGGCATTTAAAAATACTATAACTTTGCAAATAAGAAGTTTAAAACAAATATAATCAAAATATACAACTTAAAGATATAAAATTTTTTTTAAAAAATTTTAAGACATTTTAAAAATTGGTTTTAACTTGAAAAACAAACAAAAACAATACATAATATAGAAAAACAAACTAAACAATAATCAAAATATACACATTTCTAATTAGTAAAATAAATATATAAATATAAACAATATATCAAATTATCAGCAAATTATCAAACAAATATATTAAATTTTTTTTTTTAAAGTGAAGTTTTGCCTTTATCTTTATTAATATTTTGTATTAAAAATCTATTAGGAGTTCCTCTAACCAGAGCCAATTTACAAAATTTTTTACAAGAATGAGATTCAGACTACCAGAAACTAATTATTTGCAATCTAAATCTACTAGAGTAGAAAAAAACTCACCTAGATTTGATATTAAAATAATTTAAAATAAGATAAATATAATAAGGTTTATATAATTTGTCATATACAGCAAATCCCACAGAACCAGATGATATAGAGAATTAGTAAAAGACCTTGCAATCTGTAATTCAGAAAGAATTACAATATTCGATATGCTTTTATATGGCCAAATATGTGATGCGCTCAAGAAAGCAGAAGAGTTTCTGCAACAAGATACCATTAAGCATTGGGCAGTACAAGCGAAAATAGCAAGTAACAACCCATCATCAATAAATTATATGGTAAATATAAGTGAAGAGAAAATAAAAAAGGAGGAAAGTAAGATGAAAGGACTCAAAAAAAAAGATACAGTTAAAAGCCTCAGTTTTTAGAATCAAAGAAAAGAAGATCATCAGAAAATGAAGAAAAAACAAATAAAGACATAAACTATGTGGCTGGACAACTTCAAGACCTAAGTATCAAACTAAATCAACAAAAAACACCTAATTATTATACAATTGAAGAAATAAACAGTATGTTAGAAGATAATTTTATATATCTTCCAACAAATAATCTGTATATTGAAGGTATAAAAACTACATCAAGAGATCAAAACGCAGAAAGTTCAATATCAAGAAAAAAGAAGATTAAAAAGGACAAAGAAGCTCTAGTTGACAGCATTCTAAGAGATGTAATCAAGACATAACAAGTAGAGTTTAAACATAATAACTCAATGATTGCTAATAAACAAGAAACAGAAAATGGAACACTAATCTTTACAGCTATGATAGAATAAAGTATATGGTCTTCAGAGAACAGAATTTGTAAAGAAGGCCAATCCTTTATAGCAAAGGTGCTAATATACAGTCTTCCAGATAACTCAGCAGAAGAATGTGCTAGGTATGTTAGAAGATTACTTGGAAAAAACAAACACATTAAATAAGTAGAAGAACATTTCAGAAAAGGAAATTGCTGAGTAAAGGTAGTGTTTAATTGTGAATATGGAAAAGATTTAGCAGTAAATAGAATAAAGAAAAAGGAAGGAGATTGGCTAAACCTAATTCTAGAAGAACCAGAAACCTCTCGATTCTGGCAAGAGAAACAGGAAAAAATCAAACAGTACCAAGAAAATACGATCACGAAAGATGCATAAATATGGATTGTATCACAATCTGGGATCTTTTAGCAGATATAAAAGTACAAGAAGTTAAATAAATATGCAAAAAATGAGGAAAGATTCAAGACATATATATTAAATACAAAAATGGTAGAGCTCTTGCAGTAGTAGAATTCAACACAAAAATAGAAACTGCAGACTTACTCTGGGTACTTCCAATAGATGATGGAAGACTAGCTCGAATATTTATAGCAAAGAAGATCATAAAGAAAGAGA